AAAAAGACACCTATTTGTGTTGCCATTTGTGTATGGGAGGAACTGAGATAAGGAAGCCAGATGGGGTCCAGCTTGATTCTTTTATTTCAAAGTATATCCCAATCAAGTTATGCTCCACACCATTGAAAACTGGCTTTGAAGCCATTCCTCCTCTGCCACAACCCACAGCCTTCTAGGTTACTTTTAATTTTTATTAACAAAACTCACATACCCTCCATCTGTCTCAGTTTGGCAGGGACAGTCCCAATTAATCCTATGCTGTCCCACTTTTTCAGCTGTTTTTAACATGTCCCCATTTCTCTCTCCTCTTCCCAGTTTCCCCTTTATCCACAGTTTACTTCAGTTTATGCAAACTGAGTTCAAAATGTAAAAATACATAATTTGCACTCAGTTGACTCAGCAAGGAGGAGAGGAGAGCAATCTTGGCCTTCCCTGTAGACTCGGACAAAAGCAACTTGCTGGAGCATCTCTTAGTTTGTCTGTTCTTCTTCATTAATAATTTTGCAACTTTGACTATGCCCTGATTTTGCTTAGCACATACATCCCAGTTTTCATCTATGAAATATTGTGTGGTATGAAATCCGACTAGGGTTGTGATGAAAAAAAAAAATAATTGGCTTTTATGAGATTCAATAATCTTGCTGGAAAAATTACTTCTCTACCTCTAGAGACCTCTTGTGAGAGGAATCACACGTTACCTAGAGGAGAGGCACATCTGCAAAGCTCATATGATGTTTCAGAGAAATAAAGTACACACATTTTAAAATAGGGATAGCTAAAAATGTGTGAAGTTGAAAAGCATACACATATATGCTTTAGGATTTTGTCACACAAAGCTGTTCTCCTGCTAAAATAGTGTTGTTTTCAAAAACACTATGCTAGGAAAGATGAAGGGAAGTAAAAAGAGAGGAAGGCCACATGCTAAATGTATGGACTCTATTAAGGAGGTCACAGGTATGACTTTACAAGAACTAAGTACAGCAATGGAGGGCAGGGAGTCTTAGGGCCTTTGCAGACTGCCAGAAATAGTGCAAATTGAGTCCACTTTAACTGTCCTGGCTTAGTGCTAGGGAATCATGGGAACTGTAGTTTTTCTGAGACTTTGAGCCTTCTCTGTCAGAGAGCTCTGATGCCACAATAAACTACAGTTCCCATGATTCCCTAGCACTGAGCCAGGGCAGTTAAAAGTGGACTCAATTTGCACTATTTCTGGCAGTCTGCAAAGGCCCTTAGAGATGTCTCATCCACAGGGTCACCATGGGTCAAGATCTACTCGAGGGTGGTCAACAACAACAACAAGAACAAAATGCAAGCAGGATTGCTCTCTTCCCTATCACACTTCAGGGAACCTTTCCAGCCTTACAATCTTTATTCGTACTAATAGCTTGTTACACACAGCATTTGTGACTGCCCATCCACTACCTTTTATTAGACATTATCCCCACTTCTTTTTGTCATTTGGCGCACACACACACAGAGCAACCCCCTCCAAATGTTAAAGGAAATGAAAAAAGTCTTACACTTAAAAAGACCTTATTTTTTTTCCTGGGGGAGGCAGCTTCCTGATTCAGGACAGACTTGATTAATTGCTGACAGATGAATGGCAGGAGCTGAAGTAGCAATTAATCTGCCAGGGAATAATAAAGTTTGAAGCATAGCAACAAGAACAGCCAAAACGTGTTAACAAAATAAATGCTTTTTAAAGTGTCTGTTAACATTTCCCGCTATGTGTGTGTGTGACTGAGTGAGTGAGGTTCCAGAACTACATTGTTCAGCTGAAAAAGGAGGAAGAATGGGAGAGCACTGAGCAAAGTTTTCCCTTTTTGGCTTCTCTGACAAGTCTCAGTTGTGGGGGTTCATTTGCCAAAGGAGAGAGGGAAAATGTTTAAAAGTTTCTCAGTTACTTTGCCAACTGAAAGTAAATCAGATGGAAATGTCCATCCCTTCCTCTTTCTCCCCTGGTCACTGGTAAGCAAAGGGCACCTAAGCCACACCTAAAGGCTGTCCACTGACCACCCAAAATTGGCATTAAAGTGGAACTTAATTATTGCACTGCTAATGGCAGCCCAACAGTAGTGAGAAAAGAATCCTTAACATAGCAGATTACCTCACATGGGTGCTTTTGCACTGTAATCACACAATTTCTTTAATATGATTATAATGATAGCAATAATGCTATTAAAAAACTTATTTCCACATTAACTTTCAATAGCATGACAGTCCTTGTTTTGTAACTAATATTTCTTATAATAACACTACTGTAGCACTAAAGCAATCCACACCTGGGCAATTGTGTGAATGTAGTAAATGGTGCTTATAGACAGGTGCCTCTCATTAATATGAAATTGCATGATGATAACAGTATAACAACAGATCAGCAACAGATGAGTGATGATGTCATACTAAAAGGGGAGGAATAATAGGTTGTAATTCCACTCCAATTCCATCACTAGCACCTTGTCCATAATCTCCATAGTTTTTCCGTTAATGGAAAGAAATGTTTTCCAAATAGTATCCCACCAGAAGAACAACAGAAAAGGGGTGACATCATGTGACAACTCCAGCCAAAGATGTAATCATCTTGCTCCAAGTGTGATGTACTGTCTCATGTGATAAAGTCCTTAGTCAATGAAGAAAGATATTTACATCTTCTTTAGACCAAAAAAATGTGCATATAGATATAGTAATCTCAGCAAGTGGTGATGTAGCAGATAATAGCCAAAGGTGTACGGCTGAGGCTGAAGCTTCTGTGGTAACCAGTGAACTACTACTCCTTTGGCATAAGGAGACTAGCAGCAGCAGAAGCAACAGCTTCTTACTCTACCCGGCTCAAAACCAATGCCAGTCCTTGCTTTTTATAAATGAGATCAGTGTACCCAAGTGGCCTGAGATCAGCATGGTACAGTGGTTTGAGCGTTGGTCTATGATTTTGGAGACCAGGGTTCAAATCCCTGCTCAGCATGTTCACATTGAAACAACTTCCCCCAAATTGGTGCCCTTCAAATGTGTAGGTCTATAGCAGCATGGTCCTGGTGGGAAAGTTCCATTTGATGGTCCATTCAATAATAATAACTTGAAAGTCAGTAAGAGAGGGTGATTTCTGATAAAAATGTTATTCTACCATGACATTCTTGCAGCTTCTAGCTTTTCATAGAATTTATAGATTAAATCTAGAGCCAGCATAGTGCAGTGGTTTGAGCATTGGACTATGACTCTGGAGACCAGAGTTCAAATCTCTGCTTGGCCAGGGAAACCCATTAGGTGACCTTGGGCTTGTCATATTCTCTCAGCCTCAGAGGAAGGCAAAGATGAACCCCCTCAAACAAATCATGCCAAGAAAATCCCATGATAGGTTCGCCTTAAGGTCACCATAAGTTGAAAAGCACCTGAAGGCACACAGCAACAACTCCTCAAGTGGCCAAAGAACAAGGAGACGAGACTGTATGAGAAGAAGCAGCTTTAGGTTTCAAACTCAGTGGGTCTCTTTTGGTACAAGACATGAAGCTCTTCCACTTCTCTCCTGCATGGGTGCTCCAAACTCTCAATTTCAAAGCTAACTTTTTTTTTAAGGACAGCATTCACAAAGGAACCCTGAACACCTAATCAGAATTTTAGGGAGTGGGGATATACGCTGCAATATGTTGCAATAATGAATTATGTCACCTACAATCATGTTGACTGAGTAAAGGTAAAGTCAGGTTATGACAGAAACAAAATTATTAGACACAATTATCAGCTAACAAGAAGAAATGCAACATTTGATTTAATCCTGGGCAGGGATTTGCTGTGAGACACAAAAGATGTTGAAACAGTTTAGAAACAGTGTCCACAAGTACCTTGAGGTACCTGTCTGGAAACAGATGAAGACTGATCACATCCAGCAGGGCTGTTTCAATATTCCCGAGCCTTTTGTTTTCCTGCATTTGAGAGAAGAAGTTTGCATCATAAAGGAAATAGAGCATTGAAAGTTACTTTTTTTGGATTATAACTCCCATCATCCCCTTGTTGACATGCCAGCTGGGGCATTCTGAAAGTTGTAGTTCAAAAAGACATTTTCAGAGCAGGGGAAATCAGAGGTCTGTTTCTATATTGTGAATGCACTCAGTAGTGCTGGAAATCAGCCCTGCAAATGGCCAGAATTCTTTTTAATCCAGTTAAACAGTGGGGGATCCTAATGTACTTTTCATCAAATGAGGATATTCCCATGACAAAAAGGCCAAGCAAAAGTTGGATTCACATCCTTTCTGAATGTGATTCTTAAAACACAAGGTAAATATTAGCTAATAACCATTAAGATCAGCTTCCACACCCACCAGATTTTCTAGTACAGAGTGTGACACTTTTGATTCCAGTTTCACCCCTGAATAACCTCTAGTTATTTATCTCTGCTTTACTAATATTTTCCCGCACCCATCTTCTTTAGAGTCTTGGCTGTTTAGGCTTACATTCTTTACATGGCATCTACCCACAGTTTAAGAAGGTGCAGCGATAAAATCTGGCTCAGGTAAGGCATTCTCATAAAGACTTGAAAATCCTATCACAGAGAGATTATCATTAAATCATTGTTTATCACCTATGTGTCTGTGATGGGATAGGATAATGGCATTAGGTGATGTTTTAATTTATCCCTTTCTTAGTTTTATGTAGTTTTATATTAGAAGCATGCTACTCCTATTGTTTTTATATATATCATATATATTTTAATTATTGTATAGCATTTTGAGGAGATTTAAAAAAACACATGTCTGCCAAACTTAATATAAGGAGGAGGATCATCATCATCATCTAGGCAGAAAAAATTACCGTAAATGCACAAATATAAAATGGGTGACAAACTGCCTTGAAAGCACTTCATGTGAAAAAGATCTAGGGGTCTTAGTATTTTATTTTATTTTATTCCCAGGATTTATATCCTGCCTTTCTCCCACAGTGGGATTCAAGTTGGGTAGACTGCAAGCTAAATATGAGTTAACAGCATGAGGCAGTAACCAAAAAACACAATGCAATTCTGAGTGGCATCAATAGGAATATATTGTCCAGTTCAAAGGAAGTAGTAATGCCACTCTATTCTGCTTGGTCAGTCCTCATCTGGAATAATGTGTTCAGTTCTGGGCACCCCAATTCAAGAAGGATATTGACAAGCTGGAACATGTCCAGAGAAGGGCAAACAAGATATTTGAAGGTCTGGAAACCAAGCCTTAGGAGGAATGACTTAGGGAGTTGGGTAAGTTTAGCTTGGAGAAGAAGGACTGACAGTATGATAGTCATCTTTAAATATCTGAAGGGATGTCATGTAAAAGATGGAGCAAGCTTGTTTTCTGCTACTCCAGAGACTAGAAAATGAACCAATGGATTCAAATTACAAGAAAAAAGATTCTTCCTAAACTGCAAGAACTGTTACAAAGAGATTTTGCCATTGCCATCCTCTGAGGTTGGAGCATGTGACTTGCTCGAGGTCACCCAGTGGGTTTCATGACATAAAAAATACACCATATTATTTCTGAACACATAAAAATTCATTAAGGAGTAAGAGGCAAAACAGTCCTGGTTAAAAAGGTGGAAAGGGTGATTTTATTTATTTATTTATTTATTGTAGTATGAAAATATTATCTTTAAAATGTTTGTTTATGGTAAGAAAAACCACTTTCCTTCCTTAATTATCTTGTCTCAAGTCAGGTTATCTTATATCTAAACTACAAATGATATGTTAACTTGCAGACACTCCAGTTCTGATCTTGATCCTAGACCTGACCCAACCCCAAATCAGGTCAATCTAGTTTCTGGCAGTCTTATCTTGTCATCCTCATCATCATAATTATTATGTGGCAGTGGGGGGTGGAGATGTTTCCTAGATGAGATATATCACCTCTTCTGTGTACTTTTAAGAAATATGTAAAATATCATTGCATCCCATGCTATCATAACTGTGAAGTATTTAACTGGTAGATGCCACATTGGTGAAGTGGCTGGACCAATTCCAGCCACTTGACACAACCACCAGAAATGGCCATTGATGATCCAAAACAGGGATGGATAGCTTGCCATTTTTCAGATGAAGAAAGTGCATCCTCTTTTTAAATTGGTTTTAAATCTTTTGTAAACATTTTTAATTTGTTGTTAGGGAAGTCACCTTGGGTCCTGTCCTAGGAGAAAGGAGACATATAAATAAAGTAAATAAAAGCAAATAATTAAATAAAACAATGGAAGTGACCCCTGAAACCTGCTTTTGTGGTCTTGGGGCCTCCTGGTGCACCTCAAAATCCCACATGCCTCAATTCTGTTTTTAAAAGTTTGGTGATTTGGAGCAATTTTTCTGCCATAAGATCCCTACGAACATGCAAAAACTTTGTGGCCTGTGAGGGGATCAGGGGTTTCTCATCCCTGCTCTAGAGGTTCCTGGGCTCTCATCATTCTTCATGATGAGGGAGGTGAAGTCCAACAATATATGGACAGCTGTATTTTTGCTCAGCCATAATCTAAACATTTCAGATGAATGCCTTTCCAACACCCTTTTATGGTGCCCTGTCACTCATTAGAGCAATTCATCCACTGCCAATTCACCTCTCACTCCAAATTTCTTTCATCAGAACGTGAGGTAAGATCTCAGGTGATGAACCAAGCTTTGAAAATGCTGTCCTAGTGTTTGTCACTAGACATTCTTCTGGCAGGAGAGCAATCTAATGTAAACTCAGGGTGATTCATTCTGTTTTGGTTCTACCCATTCCACCTCCACTACTCTTAAATATCTTCTAGTAGATACAAGGGCTGAGGTTGCACCTCTGGAGCTCTCCCTCCCACAACTGTCTCTGTTGATGTATTTTACTGTCAACATCCTAACAGGAACAACCCACCCCTACACCTCCCACAGACAACTCCCATTGATAGCTTGTAATCTCCATGTAAAAGCCATCCCCTTTCTCCACCTTGTAATGCCCAGCTGCCTTCATCTGTCACTACGTATGTAAGTCATTCATTAGACTTCTACAGGACTTTAAGACTCCATACTTCTCTCCACTCTCATAGAGCATCACCATGGAACAGTATCAATGGATCCTGTTGCTTCTCACCATCTTCCTGACTGGAACCTTCCTCCTTTACCAACAGAGTCCCACCTTCAGGTTCTACTGCAAGATGGTTTTCTTCAATGGCTGGATCATTCTGATGGCCACCATCCTGTCTCCAGTTGTGACTGTACTCTGTGGGCGAAGAGTGGAAAACATGAAGTGAGTAGAAGTCCTTGATTCTTTTTTCACTTGTTTCAGATGGTGAATCTATGGGGTTGTGGGAACATATCTTCTTGGCACCAAGTATTTCTGCTTGCCTACCAAAAGACAGGCCAGGAAAGTCAATTCTTGAGAATTCTTTTTGATAATGCTGTTTGGAAACTGGCTAACTTCCTGACTCTATTGTCATAGTCCATCCCCATCTTATAGCACATTCCCACCTGTCTCAAGTTAGTTGGTAGGCAGTCTTCTCTTCATGAACTAAAAAGTTCCCTAGAAATCTCTTGGATTCTCTGAAGGGGAGTTATAGTACTAGACACATGTACACCACTGCCTTCTTGGTTTTCATCAGTTCTTACGTGCTCTCAGTTGAAGCTGGTGCTGATGAGATTTTAAAAAGTAGGCCCAAAATGAGGTTGGGGAGCGGATAAGGGAAGTGTGTTTGCATACTGCTAAGAGAACACAGAGAGACTAAATGAACAACAAATATACAAAAGAAAAGAAAAGTGAGTTTGGTCTGGGAAACAATTCGAAAGGGGGGATTACATTTTGAGTCTTGGTAAAAAGGTTGAATACAGGTAGGAGAAGCACAACAGAAAACACAAAACTGCTACCACACTCCAAGAACACCCTTTCAAAAGCCTTTTTTCTGTTACATGTCAACTAGCAAAAGAGAAAAATAAATCTTCCTCTAAGCAATGGGCTTTGTTTATTGACAGCAAAAATTCTAGGGGACTTCTCCAACCCTGTAGTTGGAGAAAGCCCCTAAGATTTTTGCTTGTCAGTGAGCACAATCTATGTCCCCCTCCTCCCATTTGTTTCCCAACCATAATGTTTTTCTTAGTTGGTATCTTTTTCAAACATGTTGGGGATATGTTATAGTGCTTTGGGCAGCTGAATTTGTTTGAAGTGATACAGGTAACATTATCACACTTGTAAAAAACCCGGCTTACTTCTCCCAAGTTGAATTCTAATTCAGGAGGCAGCTAGGTCCTATCCCATGAGTTTTGCCACCAAATCCAC